CCCATGTGAAACACATTTTAGATTGAAAACAACATGAGATTACTTTACTTTTGCATATGAATAAAACATGGTTTTCAGTATAACAGCAGAGGAATACCTCAAGCAAACAAAAAATCAGTAAAATCACAACATACATAAACGAACATAAGAAGGAGATAATGAAAATAAAAATATAAACAAGATGAAAGGAGAAAGAAAGAAAGAAAGAAACGTACTTGCAGGTTCGTGAGTGAGACTGTGAAGAGGAGTTGGAATGGGAGGTGAGAGTGAGTGTGAGTGTGAGTGTGAGCGTGAGGTGGGGGTGGCTTTAAAAAGAGACAAGAAACAAAAAAACAGAAAAAAGAAAAAGAAGCAAAGTTAAAATGAAGTGAGGAAGGGAGGTAGGAAGCTTCCCGGTTAGCTCTTTTTTAAGCGTTGACGCACAAACACACGAGGGGAGGATCCAGCTGCACACTTCCACTACACTACACAACACAAACAAACCACAGTAGTTGACTCTCTTTCTCTATATTCATATAGGCAATAGGCAAACGATAGTGGCATTGGATTCTGAGTGGGGTTGGGTATCAAAACACACAAAGCCTAAGTAACAGCCGCACTTTAATCATAAAAGAAAGTGAAAACACACGTAAACAGGTTTTGTCAAAGAGGGTTTCTTCTTGTTCTGACCTCTCTAAAGTAAAAGCGCGCTGTGTGTTTCTTTCTTTTATTTGTGTCCTCGTTGAGGAATCTATGTCTTTAGTTTAGTTTAGTTGGTTTGTATCTGTAAGTCAATGGTGAGAACTTATTCCCAGCAGATATTGGAAAAATAAAAGACAAAAAAGCCGTTAATCACGACTCCTTTTCTCATGTTTTCAATTACTCTACTATTAATAAACGCCAAAGCAGAGATCTCGATGCTATTCCACAATGCCTGTGCGCATGTGTAATTTCTTTAACTATTTTGTTTTGTTGTGGGTAAAAAAACAATTAACATATATTACTCTCAATCCTTAACAGCAGCAGGTATAAAAGGAACATTTGGAGCTCTAACTTTACTTTAACTCACTTTGGCTTTAACAGCAGCACATAAAAACAGAAAAAACTCCTTTCTAATATACATACAACAATCAATTATGAAAAATTCTCTAAGGAATTTTCTCAGGCCCTACAATTTCTTCAATGAATCCTTCATGTAATTACAGGATCATAGTATTCAAAGTCGATCCGTCTACTTTACCATTTCCCTTCAAGAAACTAGAACTTCATTACTATTTGATGTTAAGCATGCACCAGATCAAGCTTTCAAGAAAAGGTTCTTTGCATTGAGTTGATTATGTGAATTGCATCAATCTTTGTCTTCTTCATCACAACTTCTAAAAGTAAAAGGCAGTTACCTACGAAGAATCATAACAGAAAACTGCAACATACAAGTACATGTCACATCATTGATAAAACAAAAAGATGGTTAAAGGAAATCTTTATTAGAATGACAAGCATGACAATTTTTGTAAACTCAAGTGTGTAAGTAGTACAGGATGTTACAAATGAATGAGTTAATTTTAATAGCAAAGTTCATACCAATTTACGTTGGCTAATTTGCTTGAACAAATTAAAGAAATAAAAAACTCATGAAACTATGAAAGAATACAAGAAAACTACAGATAATGAAAAGTCACAGCGGGTTCTTGATCCTGAATATGTTGCTCCCTTGCCAACTCTAGTGCTTCTCTACAGAAGCTTCGATCCTTGGCTCAAATGAGAAGGCAGACATGAACTCCACGGCTTCACCATCCATATAGCATCTGGGCAAATCAACCCATTACTGGTGACCAAATCACATAAACATAACTGAAATGCTCAGCAGAGTTTAAGCAAATAAATATCTGGTCACCAGCCCCAACACCAGTTTATATCCACCTTCTTGCCATAAAACTCATGCGACATTGCTGGTGGCATTGCTGCAATCTGATGCCAAGACCCCTTATCCTGATCAAATCTCCACACTCTAAGACTGGCACGTGCGTATGGTTTCTAAACACAGATTATTAATTTCTGCAGATTCTTGCTTTAATATGAATTGTAAAATTATACCATTGATCTTGGCTCATGTAAACGATCCTGTTATATTAATTTTTTGTTTATGCTTTGTATACGGGACCGTTTACTAACAATATTCATGTAAATAAATTCAAAAATAAGGGCATTATTGTCCTAAAATTTTATTAATAAAGGATAGAATTATAACAAAAAAAGATAACCTTGGTAATCTTATAATACCTAAGAAAATAGAGGTAATTAGATTATCTCTAATATTACCAATAGTTAGGGGTGTTAAAAAAAATGCAAAAACCGAACCGAAAAAACAGTTCGGTTACGGTTCGAAAAATTCAAAAAACCGAATATTCGATTCGATTACTGGTTCGAGAGAAATTAGAAACGGTTAACCGAAAACCAGTTTCTCAAATATATATATAAATATATTATATATTAAATAAATAAATAATAACCTAAACTAAAATAAATTCCTAATTCACTCAATCTAAAATGCCAACCCAAATTTTTTTTCTTAGTTCCCAATGTATTGTCTATATTTATAATTTAATTTAGGACAAATTTAAAAAAAAAAAAAAAAGTTTTATAAAAAAAAAAAAAGGGAAAACCGGTTCAAAACCGGTTAACCGTTTTTTTTAAAACGGTTAACCAGTTTTTTGGTTAACTGAAAAACCAATTTTCCCTAAAACTAGTTCGGTTTCGGTTTCGGTTCGGAAACTTTCCCGAACCAAAAATCCAGCTTGGTTTAGAAAAGCGGTTAATCGGTTCAGTTAATCGCTTTTGAACACTCCTATCAATAGTAACTACTATTGGTATTTAAAGATTACCGATATCTTATATTACTTGACAACCAAACATAGTAATCAAGTAATATAAGATGACTTAACCCTAGTAATCTCCAATAACCTCCAACCAAACGTCCCCTAAAAGTATACTGAATCCTTTGGACCCACTAATTTAGGAAATGACCCTTACACCGCTATCATTTTTTTGGCATGAGTAATAGTATACCAATAATTCTTTCTCATAAATTTTCTCTTATAACATTAACGTGACAGTTCGTAATAATTAGTGGGATCCATATGAGACTCATTATGAACTGACTAATTGTAAACTATGAGAAAGAATTCTTGGTGTAGTATTGTTCTTTTGGCATATCTCACGAGTACCTTTCCCAAGCAATTGCACCTCTCCCTGGGCCGCCACACACAAGCCACGTCTCCTCAACCCCATTGTTTTGCTCCCACCACACACAAACCTCTTACTAAAATACCATTTCTTAATTTCTGTTTTCTTTTTATGTGGGAGTTATATTTGGTTTAGTTGTTGTTTCATGATATTAATTAGTAAAATATTGTTAAAATTAATCATGTAGTACTAACGTGTAACAAACAGTAAATTAGGGGATTAAGAATTATTTCTATACTAGAAAGGATTCATGATATGCAGAGGGGGTTTAGAGTAATTGTTCCCTTTACTTTATCCTTGTCTGATTTACAGCACACATACACATTCATCATGTGGGCTTCCCATTTTTGGCCCAAACAAAGGCCCAACCGGAAGAAAAATATTTTGGGTGAACCTTAATTAATAATGATATATAATAATTAGAGCCATGAAATTAACAATAAATGACATGAGGAGAATTGAAATATTATCATTGGTGATAAATGAAAATTATCTTGATACTTAAAAAAAAAAAATTAAAGAGATGAAATAAATTTTATATTTTTGTTTCTAAACTTACATTACATCATTTTAAACTTAATTTAAACAAAGTTATTTTATCTCTGACAATATGGGAAGAGTAAATGACTTTTTCCCACCCAAATAATAGTTTAATAATACCTTCCCACCCACATACTTTTAAATACCACTTTACTATCCAAATTCATGTTATGTTTCAAATTCCAACATCCTTACAATCCCACATCACCATCATTCTATTCCCCCATCACCACTCACCAAAACCTCTCAAACCTTACTCCCGTCAACCCCACTAATTAGCGACAATTGAGCGATTAGAGTTTGTGCAACCACCCCTTCTAAGTCAAATCATGATCAATCACAACCACCAAAAGACTCATCAGTCTCCCCTCTTCAAAAGCTCTAATAACTTAGATCGAGTTTGGTCTCTGTTCACCTCCGAAATATAAATTTGGGTAGTAAAGTGATATTTTAAAAATTTGTGGGTGAAAAAGTGTCATGAAGTCATTATTTGGGTGGGAAAAAGTGGTTAACCCATATGAGAAACCTAATTATTTAGGAAATATAAAATATAAGAGTAGTGGCTTCCATTCGTGTAAAGCTAAAACCTTGGCTTAAAAGGAGATTGTTGTTCCCTCTCATCATCGTCTTTAAGAAAAGAGTTGATAAAGTGCAAACATCTTCTTCATTTACAGCTTGCTTCCTTGTCCACATACTGCATTTGCAGGACCAAGGACCCAAAAAAAAAAAAAAAAAAAAAAAACAATTAACATATATTACTCTACAATCCTTTTAACAGCAGCAGGTAAAAAGGAACATTTGGAGCTCTAAACTTTACTTTAACTCACTTTGGCTTTAACAGCAGCACATAAAAACAGAAAAAACTTCTTTCTAAATATACATACAACAATCAATTATGAAAAATTCTCTAAGGAATTTTCTCAGGCCCTACAATTTCTTCAATGAATCCTTCATGTAGTAACAGGATCATAGCATATCAAAGTCGATGCGTCTAGTTTACCATTTCCCTTCAAGAAACTAGAACTTCATTACTATTTGATGTTTAAGCATGCACCAGATCAAGCTTTCAAGAAAAGGTTCTTTGCATTGAGTTGATTATGTGAAATTGCATCAATCTTTGTCTTCTTCATCACAACTTCTAAAAGTAAAAGGCAGTTACCTACCAAAGATCACAACAGAAAACTGCAACATACAAGTAACATGTCTACATCATTGATAAAACAAAAAGATGGTTAAAGGAAATCTTTATTAGAATGACAAGCATGACAATTTTTGTAAACTCAAGTGTAGTAAGTAGTACACGATGTTACAAATGAATTGAGTTAATTTTAATAGCAAAGTTCATACCAATTTACGTTGGCTAATTTGCTTGAACAAATTAAAGAAATAAAAAACTCATGAAACTATGAAAGAATACAAGAAAACTACAGATTAATGAAAAGTCACAGCGGCGTTCTTGATCCTGAATATGTTGCTCCCTTGCCAACTCTAGTGCTTCTCATACAGAAGCTTCGATCCTTGGCTCAAATGAGAAGGCAGACATGAACTCCACGGCTTCACCATCCATATAGCATCTGGGCAAATCAACCCATTCACTGGTGACCAAATCACATAAAACATAACTGAAATGCTCAGCAGAGTTTAAGCAAATAAATATCTGGTCACCAGCCCCAACACAGTTTATATCCACCTTCTTGCCATAAAACTCATGCGACATTGCTGGTGGCATTGCTGCAATCTGATGCCAAGACCCCTTATCCTGATCAAATCTCCACACTCTAAGACTGGCACTTTCAAGAAATTCTGATAACAAAACAACTAGCATTTCTCCTCTACATTGCACTACATCAATGGAGTACTCAGAAAAGACTGGTAACAGCCTTGGGTACTCAGAGAAACTCTTGCGGGTCAGATTGCATGCCACAATTACACCAGATGAGCTAAGGAAATAAGCAATTTCCTCACCATCTTTGCAAGTAATGACTGAAGAGTATTCCTTGGATGGACTTCTCTGCATGTTAGTGGCTACTACATTACCAGCTTTACTAAGGAAGTAAACAGCATCATCATCGTCATCATCATTTGACTCAATCTCCATAGTTTCATCAACCTTTCTACTCAGCGAAATCTCTTCTTCCCAGCAATTACCACTTGAGTTGTAGACTTTGAATGATAGTTTTGGAAGTTCACCAAACACTAACACAAGCTTGTAAGAGCTGTCATATTGGGAACATTGATCCATGACAATGGCATGAAGAGATTGGTTTTCAGGTGCAAGATCCAGTGGAGGGAGTTTGCGACATGACCCTGTCACGGGATTGCAGACAATGAAATTTCCAGATGCATTTCGGAAACAGACCAAACCACCAGATGCTGCAACTGGCATGCAATCGGATTTGGATTTCTGCTGGAGGAGAGGTGGGTGTTTGAGCCCTTTCCAACCTTTTTCAGCAGAATCGAAAACAACTGAATGGTTGAGATGGCGATCAACCATTAAAAACCATGGATCCCGGGAAGGAATCTGAGAGCAGGCAACCTTGAAGCTGGAAGAATCTGCAACTGACTTCCATCTCTTACAGACCGAACTAAGACGGAAAAATGTGGAGGTGGGTAGCCATGATAATACTCTTTCAAGAAGATCTTGATTGAGCTCATCCATGGAGAAGCTCAAAGTGTCTTTATCTTCCTCGGGTGACTTTCTCTTCCTAGACGGCCTTGAAGCCCAGCAATCAAGAAGCTCCATTGATTCTATGCTTGTGACAATTAACTGCAACAAAAAAGAGATCGATGTTATTAACAATAGGTGATGGGTCAAATCAATGTGTATCATAATAAGCCCAGAAATAAAATGACGCTTACATGCAATGTATGCACTTCAAACTACTCTAACTTGATAAAGATTACTGAGAATATGCCCTAACCGCCTCCCCTAGGTTCTCTGATATAAATGCTATCGATGTAGTGAAACTGAACAAATTATTGGAGTGGAAACAGATTAAAAAGAATTGAGAGTATTCTGATATAAAGTAAGCAATGGCAGAATGGGAATGTTATAAGAATAATGACAACCAATCAAAATTACATGCTTAGAACATCTCCATTTGCTCTAAATTCCAATCCCAAAACTATAATTTTACGCTATCAAAAGCAGAATAAGGGAATCCCCATCTTTTAATCGGTTTATGTTGTTTATAGGCAAAACAACAACTTGGGTTCAGAGTTTCTACAGATGCAAATCATAAGAAAAAAGTAATTTAAGAAGAGGTGATGCCAGGAATTGAACTATAAATGTGAAAGACAAAGCTAATAATGATCTCTCCCCATGTGAAACACATTTTAGATTGAAAACAACATGAGATTACTTTACTTTTGCATATGAATAAAACATGGTTTTCAGTATAACAGCAGAGGAATACCTCAAGCAAACAAAAAATCAGTAAAATCACAACATACATAAACGAACATAAGAAGGAGATAATGAAAATAAAAATATAAACAAGATGAAAGGAGAAAGAAAGAAAGAAAGAAACGTACTTGCAGGTTCGTGAGTGAGACTGTGAAGAGGAGTTGGAATGGGAGGTGAGAGTGAGTGTGAGTGTGAGTGTGAGCGTGAGGTGGGGGTGGCTTTAAAAAGAGACAAGAAACAAAAAAACAGAAAAAAGAAAAAGAAGCAAAGTTAAAATGAAGTGAGGAAGGGAGGTAGGAAGCTTCCCGGTTAGCTCTTTTTTAAGCGTTGACGCACAAACACACGAGGGGAGGATCCAGCTGCACACTTCCACTACACTACACAACACAAACAAACCACAGTAGTTGACTCTCTTTCTCTATATTCATATAGGCAATAGGCAAACGATAGTGGCATTGGATTCTGAGTGGGGTTGGGTATCAAAACACACAAAGCCTAAGTAACAGCCGCACTTTAATCATAAAAGAAAGTGAAAACACACGTAAACAGGTTTTGTCAAAGAGGGTTTCTTCTTGTTCTGACCTCTCTAAAGTAAAAGCGCGCTGTGTGTTTCTTTCTTTTATTTGTGTCCTCGTTGAGGAATCTATGTCTTTAGTTTAGTTTAGTTGGTTTGTATCTGTAAGTCAATGGTGAGAACTTATTCCCAGCAGATATTGGAAAAATAAAAGACAAAAAAGCCGTTAATCACGACTCCTTTTCTCATGTTTTCAATTACTCTACTATTAATAAACGCCAAAGCAGAGATCTCGATGCTATTCCACAATGCCTGTGCGCATGTGTAATTTCTTTAACTATTTTGTTTTGTTGTGGGACAGTCTTAATAGATAAGGAAATGGCCGAACGAACTTGTACCTAACCTAGGTTTGGCGAAACAACGATTGGTACTGGTTTAAAATAATAAATAGGTATTTTTCATTAGTAAAAAAATTAGAAAACCTTTTTAATTATTTTTAGACTCTTTAAATTTATTAATTTTATCAGATATCCTAGAAAAAAATTTAAAAATTAATAAAAACATCCTCACCCATTCATATTTGTCAGAATTCGACGGCCACCGTCGGTATCCGGTGGTAGCTGGAATGTGTCACAACGGTCTACGCTACCACCGTAAATGGTTGGTAATTCGCAGATCTAGTATTTTTCAACCAGATCCACCATAGATCTAGCCAGAAAAGGCTAGATCTAGCTGGAAACTAACGGTCATCGTTGATTGTCAACGACGGCCACATCTTTGGCCAAAGATGGAGTGTTGCGGCCGTCGACGGCCAGATCTGGCGGTAGATCTGGCCGGAAAAGGCCAGATCGGTGAATATTGTGACAGATTTCAGCTACCACTGGCAATGGCCGTCAGAATCTAGCAAGTATGGTTGGGCGGAGGTATTTTTGTTAATTTTTAAACTTTTTTATGGGGATATTTGATGGAATTAATAAACTTAAGGGGTCTAAAAGTAATTAAAAAATAGACTAATATTTCTCAAAGGGCATTCTAGTCTTTTCACTAACGGAAGGTACCTGTTTGTCATTTTGAAACCTTTTGGGTACCAATGTCGTTTCGCCAAACCTTGGGTAGGTGTAAGTCGTTTCTCCGGAAAGAAATAGGATTAACAAGTTGATAATGTAGATCATATGAACAGTGTTTGATTTATTATATGACTTCTAAGACCATCTGTAGCCATAAATACCAAATTGATGCAAGTTTTACACCAAATTAGTGTGATTTTTAGTGTATTTTACTATTGCATCTCCAACCCATTACACCAAAAAGAATATTCTTTAAAATATTTTTTTCTTTTTTTCTATTAATAATCAACAATTAATATATTTTACTGATTATTTATATATATTAATTAAATATTGGGAATGATATTTTTATTAAATAATAATAACTTTGAAAATTATACTAATTTAATAAAATTAAGCATTTATTTAATTAAATAAACATTACATTTAATATAAAAAAACATTACATCTAATATAAAATGCCACTAAAAAAATTAAAAAAAAAAAGACAACAACACAAAAGTAAAATTCCCTATTGATAGTAATTTAATTTTCCGTATTAATATATTATTCCCACAAATGATCAATTAATGCATTTTGAAGAGTATGTTGAGCTTATGTATCCTTCATTTGTCTATGTTAAGCAAGAAAATTTTGAAATCGGACATTTTGAAATCAGATTTGAATTCCATAACCAATCCAAGCCTACGTGAGTTTTTTCAAAATGAGCAATCAAAAATTATACAAAAAAGAGCTCAACAACAAGATCAAGGATCTCAAAATAGTTTTAGTCTTTCCAATATTTTGATGATCTTAGAGGATCCGGAACTAATCTATCGGAATATTAAATTGTTATTTTAGTTTATGTTATATTTTCTTTTAATTTTAGTGTTTTTAAATTAGTGTTAATTTTTATTTTTATTTATTGTAGTTTAATATTTGCATTGAATAAAGTTTTGTTTTTAATTTTTCATCATTTTTTTAATTATATAATTATTATGAATTTATTATTATAAATATTAATATAAATAATAATCAACTTAACGTAAATACAAATAAAAAAAATAAAAAAATAAAAAATATTTTATAGTAGATAAATAGTGCTACACCAAATTTGGTGTGATACTATTCACTTACACCAATTTTGTGTGTTGGATTTGAGCAAATTTTTCACACATACACCAAAATAGCGTTGGGTTGGAGATGCCCTAATATAATCTAGCTGCCTACCACTAATAATTTTTTTGATAAGAGTTGACAATTTAGTCCAAGGATCCCAATAAACAAACCCTAAGGTGTCAATGGAATAGTGGTTTTATTTGAGCCTCATTTATTCTTTTCGGCTCCGCTTTCTTTGCTTTAATGGGGTTTTCATGAATTTAACATTCAAAATTGAGTAAACAACTTTTTCCCACCCAAGGTTTGGCCTAATGACACTTTCCTACCCAAAAAGTTTCAAAATACAACTTTACTATTTATAGCATAGTTTTGTTAGTAAATTTCGTTGTAAAGAGGGCAAGATGATCAATTAACGTTAATTTAGTTTCACTCCTTTTTCTCCTTATTTCCTTGGCCAAACGTTTTTCCTTTTTCTCCTTTTGCAATTGTACAGCATTTTGCACTGATCTCTGCCAGTTTTCTCATTGAAACTGACGGATTTCATCACCCTTTTCCCGTTTTCATAACTCCCCAACCGAAATGACCGCTTTCTAGGTCGTATTTGGCATTTTTTAGATGATTTTAGAGATTACACAACCTCTGTTTTCAGGGCCAATCTGGACCAAAATCAACGGCTTTGGCCTACCCTTTCACCACCACTAGATTCCCCAACCTCCATATTCCAAAACCCCTTTGACTATTACCTGATTGCTCCTACCGTTTGTTGACGCTGTTTGGATTAGGGTTTCACTGTTTCTAGTTGAATTTCGACCAATTCCGGTGGCCAAAATCCAAGCCTTCACCAACACCAAATTCCCTTACCTCTATACTCCTAAACCAGCTTGACTATTGCCTGATTGTTCCCATCGTTCGTCGGCGCCATTTGGATAAGGGTTTCATCATTTCCAACTGAATTCCGATGGCCAAAATCCAAGTCGTCTCCACTATCCACCACCATATTCCCCGACCTCCATACACCAAAACCCTTTTGACTATTGCCTGATTGGCTCCAACCGTTTGCCCACATCGTTTGAATTAGGGTTTCACTGCTTTCCAACCAAAATTTGGCTGAATCCGATGGCCAAAATCCAAGTCTTCACCACCCTTCTGCTTCACTGGCCCCCACTCTACAAAACCCTCAACACCTCACTGCCCACTTGCTCGCCGTTCATTATTTGAGCGACATTGTCGTCTGTCGCCGATTTTTGGTCCAGATACTAATAATAAAAAAAATCAGGTCAAATAGTAAAGGGTACTTTCGTCTTCATAATGAATATTACTATATTTAACGGAACATAACATTTAGGTAATAAAGTTGTATTTTGAAACTTTTGGGTGGGAAAGTGTCATTAGGCCAATAAAAGTCGTTTACTCTTCAAAATTTGGAGTCTTGTTACGTTATTAAGGAATTAAAAATAAAAAAATTGACAGATGAGTGTTGCTCGGGTTTAGACCGTCAGTTAGTCCAAATCTAATGGGTGAAACCGGTATTCTGTATATATGGTTTGAAGGCCCAATAAGACTGTTTGGAATTTGGATTGGGCTCAACAAATCATCCGTCTTTTAGTTGGAGATGAAAGAAATTGGGCTGAACATAACGTCTGTTTTTGAGTTCTAGAAGAAAGTAGAAGGAAACGAAGGTGGCTTAACAAAGCGAGCGAGTCAAGCAAACAAATTACAAATGGCAGAGTTATTGTTAGGTGTATCACAGTCCTCTCTTCTTCTTCTACAGCCCAAGCTTGGACTCTCCAACCGAGCTTCTGCACTCAGACACCGTAGCAACATCAGCTATCAAAGACTTGACATTTCTTCCAAGAGGATCGCGACTGTCGCCGGAGTAGTCTCATCTGACTCCAAATCCTCAACTATACTCTCCAAGAGTGTTGACACCGTAAAAGACGGGAGCGAGATCGTGCCCGAAATTGGAGGCGGCGGCGGCGGTGGAGAGAAGTTTGGTAGCGGAGGAGGTGGTGGAGGAGGAGGAGGAGGTGAGGGTAAGAACGAAGGAGAAGGTGAATCAAGTGACGAGAGTGAGAACAAAAAGATGGGGATGTCTATGTCTCAGAAACTGACTTTGGGTTATGCTGCACTTGTTGGAGGTTCATTTATTTATTTGTTTGTTATTATTATTACTATTTAGTTTAGTTTTGATTGAAATTATCTTTTAAAAAACTAAGATCGTATCTCAATATTTGTTAATATTTACTTGATTCAAACACTGTTTTTAAGTTAAAATTTCTTTAAAAGAAGAAAAACTACTTTTTTTCTGGTTTGCTGATTTTATAGTAGTTTAAGGATTGTATAAAAAGATGGCATTTTCGACCAAAATCATTTACATAAATTTCTTTATATGTTGTTTTCAGAAACAAGAATTCTGTGTAAATTTTTATCCAATCTCAAGTTTTTAAATTACTCACGTGGTATCAAAGCAAAATCTTAAAGTTATTCCAAGTTTTAATTCTTCAGGTTGTACATATGCATTTGTATTTTGTATTTATGTGCATATCTCAGTGATCTTCCTCAAACCTTTTACTTCTCTTCCTTTTACTTTCTTGCTATCTACTGGACTGTTAGACGTGCTAACTGTAACAATAAGTGATGTTTTTTGTCTAATTGTGAGGCCCCTTGACAGTTTGTTGGATGATGAAATATTGATCTTTTAGTTGATTTGTGCATTCTTCAATGTGGTCAAATCTGTTTTATTGTTTTGCTGCACACTTGTTTGGATCTTGATTATTTGTATGCTTGCTTACACTATGTAGTAATTACATTTTGTTATATTTTATATATTGGCAGTGGGTGGTCTTATGGGCTATTTGAAAAGCGGCAGCCAGAAGTCACTCTTGGCAGGAGGAGTGTCGGCCTCGCTGCTATATTATGTTTATACAGAGCTTCCCACAAAACCAGTTCTTGCTTCATCCATAGGGCTTGGTAAGGCTATATACTCCAGTTTAATGATGCTACAAGAATAGTTTAAACCATGTGATAAGGTTATGGCATATGCAGTATTAGATATCCTGAACTCTTTCATTATGTTTGATAAGTTGCACTGAATGAGAAAGTTCTTCAGAGTTGCATGAAAAAGTGTGTCTTATTCTTACCATGTTATATTTACGAAGATTAATGTTAACATATAACGTAGGGATGAGTGAGATTTAGTGCAAATCTAATGAGATCCTCACATTTTATGATTTTTAATTCCAGTATCTGTGTATATATACCACTTGATTGAGTTCAAAGGATGATTTGAAATCTGAGTTCAAATTCGAGCAGCAATTGAAACTTCATTTTGTTGTGAATGGTTAATTTTGGCTTCTAATCCGACAATACGTTAAAATAAAATAATATGTGTAAAAGTGGATACTGTTTATTCTAATAAGGATCAAGTTTTTCTTCAATTTGATTCCAACTGGTTCTTGGACTCACTTATCGAGCCTTTCCTATCAATTATTATAATTTATTTGAATCTATGTTAATGTAGACTCACTTTGACTGGAATGGTGATTCTAGACTGTATGAGTAAAATCTTGGTGACATAAGCTCTACAATTAGGTTTTCCCTTGTATAAAATGTGCTTTAGTTTCTTAAAATTTTGGTATAAACTTTAGGTCTAATCAGAGTATATGCTCAACTCACCACATTATAGGTTTGTCACTTTCCAGATCCACCTATTCATTTGCTCAACCTAACTGCTTCTGTCATGTTCAATTTGTAGGCCTGTCTGCTGCGCTTTTGGTAGTGATGGGTTCTCGTTTCAAAAAGTCAGGCAAGGTGTTTCCAGCAGGTGTTGTCTCTCTTGTGTCCCTCGTGATGACAGGGGGTTACCTACATGGCATTATGCGTAGTATGCACTAAAATGCATAAAATGTAAGTCAAACAATAATGTTAGTGATGGAGTGCTGGCATGCCTGTCCATGTGGAAACTTGGTGATTTTTTTTTTCTTTTTTCTTTTTTTGGGTATGTAAAGCGTTTGAACGTGGATTAGGTTTCAGGCTTTTCTTGAACTTTCACAAATCTGTCTTGCTTCTGTGTTTGTAGTCGCTTATTATGGTTTTCATGCCAGTATCAGGCAGTAAGTTTTTTTTCTCTGAGGTCATGGTTTGCTTTTTTGATCTTTGGTCCCATCCTATCCCTTTGATTTAATCTGTTGTATAACTTGACATGGTTTTAAAAGGAAAGAAATAACTTCTAGGAATAGCTTTGGAGTGAAATTTTTTATGTATCATTCTGGAAGGGAATTATTACTTGAGGCAGGTGCAAATATCTGATGGGAAAATTAGGCATGGAAGATGCCGTAATGTAATGCTTGTTCTAGGCAAGCGGCGTCTCAGCAGAACGAGAGATACCATATATGCAGGGAATACTAGATGTTTGCAATTAGCCTTGTGTAAAATTCTATGGCTACAACCCATCTGTAAGAACAGTGAAAAACCTTTTCGTACAAGAGTTGTGGCGTTCAATACTGAGATAAGAATTTGTGGGTATGAAGTAGATGCAGCAATTGTATCCTAGCCCCTAGTGCATGACCTAACTCACAGGCAAAAATCCCGACAGAGTCATACATAAATAGCAAAACACAACACAGCCATACATAAGTAGCGAAACTCATCAGATTGTCATGCATGAAGAACGAGAGCTCAGTTTAGATGAGAACCTCATAGGACGATAAACTAAGTTGCTTGATGCTGGTGATGATTGACAAGGCAAGCAACGCGGTCTACATTCTCTGACATGAAGATGATGAGAGTGTTAGTCCCCGATGAGAGAAGCTTTACTTCTTCTGGGTGAACAATTCCTTATATGAAGAGAGTTTCAGAATTCGAATACTGTAAGTTAACCACTTCCGGGGTCTATTCAATAAGCCACCATTTGTTTAAAGAAAAAAGAAAGATCCTTCCCTGCTGTTGTTTATTTGTACTCGAAAAGAGTTAAGAGTGAGAAAAGAATCTCCAACTGCTCCGCCCATCAAGCCAACTACACCACCAAATCGCAAATATCTGATTTTTGGGACATTAGAATTAGATGACAAAGCTTACTTCAATAACTCCCATAACCTGAATTCACGTTACACTCATGAAATCCGCACAACTAACAAAGACACTTCATAGAATCAAATCATCCAACAAATACACGAATATCTGTTTGTCAAACAGACAGTGACAGATAATCAGTTTGACATTGTCAGGCAGACATCAGACATGGGCAATTAACAAGTCAGTCGCATGGGTTTAAAAGACATTTCAACTGCCCTTGGATTAAATATAAGCAGACGTGCTCAAATTCTCTATTGCCAGCATGGTAAGCAATCATTGAGAGAAATACATACCCAAATAAGCCTACCACGAGACATTTCTGTTTCTGTCAGTAACAGATGAGAAATTGAGCACATGTTATCCCCATTGAAGTCCAAAGGCAATTCAAACATCATCACACCTAGTGTGCTTTGCAATCTTACAAGAATAATACTGCCAAGTTTAGAATATCTCAGACAAATTAAGTTTTCCATTATTTACTACAGCCTTCTAGAGGCTTAAATGCAGCTCATTTGAACTGCAGATTTAGCTTGTAATTCTTCTGGAGGCATGGGAGATTTTTCAAAGTAACCTGCATCTGCTGAAGTTTCAGTACTGAGGTTGGCTGTCACAATGTCAGAATTTTTTGTCCCGGATTGAGCAGGATAAGGATTCTTGCTCACCAACCTATAAGAAAATAAAGAGCAGCAAAACTGAGATGAATAGAATAAAAAATAAATTTTCAAATCCACATGCAATTCCTTAAAAAATGACTTCAATAAGTAAGATTCAGTCTCCAAAATAGTTAGTAACAATTATTTTATTTCTTAATGGAAGATCAATTATCCCAAACTTATAACTATCCAATGCCTAACATAATGGAGCACATTATGTGTATGTAGTCCAACAATATCGGCAGGACAATTAATTTTAGCCTCTAAGATGTACTATATTTCCAGATTACAAAAGATGATAATGGGACTCTAATATCTTTCAGTCAAAGATCTTGTGGTGCTATAAAAGGTACATATAGATATAAGAGTTGACCTGATTATATATTAGTCAGGAGTTTTCTTGCTCAGCTAAACTAAACGGGAGGGGGATTGCAGTTCAAAGAAGTTACCTGTCTCGTCGCTTCTCAAAAAATTTCTGAAGGGAATGTCTCCTTGCAATTGGTAATTCTGTACCAACAGATATTGCAATACGGATCATAAAGCGAAGTTAGATTACAATAACCATGAAATTAGAAAGACAGAATATCCACATTCAACAGAAACTGTGACTGTCAAGTTACACAATGGTACCAGCTTGCAACTTGCAAAAGGAAGAGTTCCTCTGCATAGGATGTGGAGCCACCCGTGGAGAACCCAAAGGAGATGCAGTACTCAGAAGTGAGGGAGACCTTGTTAGAACTGGTGAAGGGGTAGGACAGTTGATACCAATGTTTTTCATGTCACCAGAGTTAGTAGCGGCAGCGGCAGCAGCGGAGGCAATAAGCATAATTTCACGAACCTAAGCACATGAATCATGGTAAAATTTAAAATGAGATCTTATTTCTAAAGATACCAATGTCTTCAAAGCTTTAAATTAGAGAACAAACCTTTTCTGCCGGAATTGAATCAAATACACAAACATTTCCACCATAGAAGATTGTAAGCTGAGATGGATTAGCGTTTGCTCCGGATGTTGGCATTGACATAGGCCTTTCACAACAAGAAATGAGGCGTTACAAATTCACATTAGAATATTATGGAAGCGTCACATGTATACAGAGGGAATAAAATACATCATACAGAAGATATGATTCTTTTACAAGTCAGAGAGCCATTTATCTTGGGGTAACCCTTTTTTATTATATTCCTTCAAATGATTGGGAAAATGCCCAGTTCCATGTTTTCAACCCTTTCATATGTACAAGCAGGAATCTCCTATTCATCTTGTGAATATAAGAAGTCTTTTATGGGGAAATTACCCATCATAATGAGACCATGGTGTCACATAAATAACAAAAGTCACCTCAAGACAAATTATACAACCACTTTTCTGGCCTCAGGCTGTTAGAGGTCCTGCTTATCACTGATGCAGCCATTTTTTTTTTGGCTTACCACCAAATTGCTCAAGAATCAACAAAACAACAATCTAAACTAATTTCCCACCTATATTAGCCACACACAGAACCAAACCTCAACTATCCTCTGAAATCAAACTCGTCTGACAGACACAGAGAAGTATACAAACCCTCTTCAAGTCCACCACCTGAATACATACAATAACAGCATGTAGCACAAGCTTTAGTGTGAACTTAATTATGGGTCTACTTTTAATTGACATGATGACTACTAGAAAGCAGGAATCCACATAATAGTACCACTCAATCAGACAACCATCATCAGCCCCGCTATTACCGATGTTATCAATCACTTGACCTCATGTTCGTTTCAAAAATCAACAGTTATGAATGCTCATGTTCAAGCAAATGTGTTTCTGGGTCATTAATTATCAAATTAGATCATGAAAATGACAAAATGTTCTTGACAGTCAATAAAGATACTTCGCGCAACTAAACTAACAATAGAAAACAAAACAGCATAGCAACAATGATCACCAAGTGAGTCAGCATGCAAAAAATTAAAAAATAAACAAAAAGAAGAAGAAGAAGAAGAAGAAATATGCAATCAGTATAAAAGATGTAAATAAATTGCTGCAATGCCACTCACAACACAACAGCGGCCGAAGCCATCCTGCATGTAAGGTGCTTTGCAATGATGGATAGTAGACGTAACAGTAAAAACAAGCCTAATGCAACTCAACTTGGAACGCAAGATAAAACCCAAAAAAATTCACTGCTTTCTAAACATGGGAATCCATGGTATCACCTCCAGTCCAAATAATATTCAGTTTTATGTGGAAAGTGCACACTATTAACTGCGTGAATTCATTCAGTGAATTCAACCTCTTATTGGAAGTATTCTTGCCAAACCACATAAATTGTGTTTCTTCATGTTTGCAAAGTTATGATTTATCTTCGATAATTTGCTTTGGTGCGCAATACACACATCGTTTTTTTTTTTTTTTTTTTTTTTTTTAGGGTTTGTTTTCTGTCTAAAATCTGAATAGATCAAATGAAATTTGAATAGGGTTTGTTTTCTGTCTAAAATCTGAATAGATCAAATGAAATTTGAATAGACTAGAGAGTCTAAATCTGAACAATAAGTTTATTTTACTTTTCACAAATCCTTTAAAAAGTTGGATGAAAATTTATTTAAATAATAACTTGCATTTTATCTAACAGTTTGATAAAGCATAAATTAAATTTTCTGAAACCGATTCTTAGATTTTATTGAAATAAAAAATTGACAGGGATGCAATAAATAAATTTGCATAAGAGTATTTTAGAGAACAAAAATCAAAGAAATCATTAAACGTTATTCAGACTTAAGTAAAAAAAAAAAAATTATTTTCGTATTCAGATAAAACTATCTAAATGTCTTCATTGAGTTTAAAAAAATAAAAAATAAAAATAAAAAAAATTAACGGCTAAAAGCATAAAACGTGTGCCTTAACATTAATCGAAACTAAGACTCGTAACACAATATACACTTCATTCATTTCTGCCATAGGTCAATTAGCATGATTCAATTTCTCTCCCTCAAACGACATAAAATTCCGAGTTTAAACTCTGAAGTATTCATTAAAGTTACCTAATTCTGCCACACAAATGAAAGAAATATCCGTACACTACCGCATTCAAACAGTATACGGACATTCAATTCAACTGTACTACCTTCGTCTAAAAAATGTAAAAAATTAAAATATTCTAAATTCTATGACCACAGAATTTGTTCTAACTATAATAACACAACAAAAATAAAAATAGATTTCTATTTTAACAAAACTCGCACAGATCTAAGAGACTAAGACGAAAACATAAATTCAAAAGCATACGTGGTGGTCTTGTCGGTCAAAAACGTTTTGTTCGCCAACAAATCAACAGATCCAGTAGCTTCGCCTATCCCGGCGTCGTCCTGTCCGACTTCAGGCTCCTTCTTCCCTTCCTCTTCTTCTCCGGTCTTCGGCTTGATTTCGTCAACGGCCTCCATTGAACTGAGCCGACAAAATCAAAATCAAAATCAATAAAATCCTTTCTTAGTGTTTCTTTCTTTCCTTCCTTGGTCTTGAGTCTTGACTTTTACTTTCTGTTTCGTTTTTGTTGGTGCTTTGGTGGCCCTTTAAATTAGTTTGATACTATGAGAAAGAAGTTTCGTTTTGCACATAAAAAAATCATGATGTCCACTGCCTCTTCGAAAGGACAAACAAGTCGATGACGTGGCGGTGAAAATGCCATGCTTCTATGTACGGGTACAGTTCGATTTAATGCTTGTGGGGTCAAAATTACTGGATTTTGCATATTAGGTAGGTTGCGTGTCCAATTTTTAATGGGAGTCGTCGCTGTTTATTACCGAATCCACAAAAGGCACACATGTTGGGTTGTTCCATTTTATGATCATTCAAATATATGTTTTGTTCACGTGGGATAATGTTGTGAATCTTTTTCTTTACGAATTAACGTGAGACATATCCGGATTTGATTCCATTATTATTATTTTTCAAAGGAATACTAATATGGGGTGACAATAGGGACTGGCAGTGGCAGGTCGTGTTTATGTCGTTTCGAGAGGTGTTTCAAGAGAATTAACATGCTTGAGCTACAGCTACATTTTCGAATGGTTAGAAGAAGACTAAATTTTGGCTCTGTTTGGTTCACAATTTTATATTTTTGGAAAAAGTTTTTTGAAAAAAGTTAAAAAAAAGTTGAATTGGGCGGGTATTATGATGTAGGATTTACAAATTATAAAATACCCCCTATGTGTTTTTTTACAAAACACCCCTTATAATAAAACATTAAAAGTTAACAAAAACACTCCCAATCCACCCTCAAATACGGACAGCCGGCCACCACCGCCGGAGGGTGGCCGGAGTCGCCGTAACAAAAACATTAAAAATATTTAGGGGTATTTAATTGAATTAACAAATTTAGGGGGTTTAAAAAATGTTAAATAAAGTTGAATAATATTATAAGTTTTTGAGTATTTTACTGTTTAACTTTTTTGGGAATACTAAAAGTGGTATTCCCAAAATCCAACCAAACGAAGCCTTTATTTCCCAAACTAAAAATTGTTAAAATAGAAAATAATATGGGGTGCGCCGAATACTCGTTTTCTCATGTCAACTTTTAGTCCCTCTTGTAAATTTATAAGAGTTTGTTTATAGAAGAAATAAAGCTTATAATAATAGTATAGTTTTAAGGTAATATTATACTTACAATCTAATCTCACAAACTTTTTTTTTACAATTATGATGTGATAATTTGTAAATACTAAATAGGTCTCATTTACTCATTATGGGGTTTCATTTGTTCAATTGCGATCTGACCAATTATGAACTATTACATTGGGGTTGTGAAAAAAAATTGATAGTTTTATGAAAATTTTGTTTGTTGTTTGATTAGAAAAATGTGAAATAACTTTTTTGTGTTAATTTACCAATAAAAAGTTTAATATACAAGATTATATCAAGTTAAATTTATAAAATAAAATACCGATAATTTTGAATCTCAGCACTTTAACCGACCTCAAAAACAGTTATGGCATAATATATAACTTATTTAAAATCTTGTAAGTAATTTTCAAATGTAACAAAAAAGTCTAAAAAAATTTGAAAGTACCTTGTAACTTTTAAGTAAGATTTTTGGCCGATTGTTAAGCCTAACCAAACATGCTCTAATGCTCTCATTTATGGGCAACTTATTCATTTAGGAATATATTAAACACGAAATGGCTTTTTTTTCTCCATTTCACTATCTTTTTTTTTTATTTTTTGGTATTTGGGGGTGTTTGGGTTAGTTTGCAGATACCTCAATTAATCCCTCAAGACCTTGAAGTTAATGACTAAATAAACCACTAATGATTATCTCTTATTAATAGTCTTAGGAATCGAATTTAAAATAAACATTTCCCTATCTTTCCCAGCTATGAATCTTTTTCATTTATAACTATTAACTCTTCTTCATCTTTTTGGGCATTTGGCATATGACCTTAACCCATTGGGGGCGTTTGGTTGGTGGTAATGTCAGATTATTGGGGTAATGTCATCTGATATTACTTGATTACCACGTTTGGTTGTCAAGTAATATAAGATTCTGGTAATATTCAAATACCAATAGTAACTACTATTGGTAATATTGGAGGTAATCTGATTACTCCATTTTCTTAGGTATTCTGAGATTACCAGAGTTATCCTTTTTTGTTACAATTTTATCCCTTATTAATGAAAATTTTGGACAATAATGCCCTCATTTTAAAATAAATTTACATTAATATCTTATTTCAATTTTACCTTGTTTAACTAAAATTTTGGACAATAATGTCCTTATATTTAAAACAATTTAAAGACCACTGCCACTCAGCCACCACCACCACTGCCACCACCGCCTATAGTGGCCAACCACCACGGACCGCCTCGAAAAACTCGTCGAAGTCCCTAAAAAAAAACTAGTTTGAGTGGGAGGCTCCGGGAGTCATTGATATGGCCGTTTTCAGCCATATTGATGGCCGAAAACGGCCATATCAGGCCAGATCTGGCCGTTAACCGCCACAGACTTGGCCGTTAATGACCAGATCTATTCCAGCCGAAATAGATCTGGCTGTTAAAGGCCAGGTCCGTGGCCGTTAACGGCCAGATCTCGCTCAGATCTGGCCGGAAATGGCCAAATCTGGCCTGATATGGCCGAAAATGGCCATATCGAAGCCTCTTAGTCACGGTGAGTTGCTGATGAGGACTTTCGGAGACTTCCGGCGGTGGTATGCGGTGGTGGCAAGAGGTGGGGGTGATTTCATAATAAATTAAAGTTTTATATAAGCATGGGTGTTTTAACTAAATCTGAAATATTGGGGGTTAAAAGAAATTATTCAAAAATTAATAATAAAAATAATATTATATTAATATTTGTAAAGGGGACAATTTAGTGATTTAAATAACATACCTACCAATTTATTCCCCATAACCAACCATATTAATATAACATACCCACCAACTAATCAAGCACATTTTCTTAAAGATTCCCAGCAATCTTTCAAGGTAATCTATCTTTGCAGTAATCCAACATTCCCAGTAATCTAACATTCATGAACCAAACGCCCCTATTATTTTATTGGATTTTGCCCCGTAGACCTCACATGAGTTTTTGGGCTTTATTTATTTTATACCCAACAGAACCCATCAACTTGTAAAACTTATTGAATACATTTTACTGTTGTAAAGGCAGAGGGTGTCCATCCACTGCCTTTGTTACTTTGAGGCGGTGAAAGTGGGGAGTTGTGATGACTATAAAATATTCCCCCAATCCCTTTCATTCCAATCAATCCAATTAATCCTTTACAATCCAAAACTTTTGAGGGATTACGCAATATCAATCACATTTCTCAATTCTCTCACTTTAGTCCTTGTTATAAATTTACTTTACCTTTCTTGAGTTATTACTAAATAGCACCACTAAAATTGCAACATGTTATCAACACGAAAAGCTTAACAAATGTAATGTTGCACTTCTATTGAGAGTACGTACTTTGACCCTACGGGTGTTCTTTAATCTTTGTTTTCGCCTTTATGGCTGGATTTATTTATTATTATTAAAATTTTATCTCTATGGTTGGATTTATTTTTCATTGTTAAATTGTGCCTCTATGGTTGAATCTATTTATTATTGTTAAATTCCGCTTTTATGGTCAGATCTATTTATTATTGTTAAATTTTGCCTCTATGATCGGATCTATTTATTATTGTTGAATACTGCCTTCATGGACGGATCTGTTCATTCTTGTTGAATACAACCTTTATGGTTGGATATGCTTTTATTATATTTTTTATAACCAATGTTAGTAATTGTACTTCCATCTTATATATGATAAATGAACTTGAAGTTCAATAAATAAATATCGTTTTAGAACTTGAAGTTCTAAATATTGATTACAAGCATGAAGTTTGTAAAACAGAGACAAAAAATGGACCTAAAATTTCATATCATGAAGATAAAGTTCTGTAAACATCTTTACCAATGTAATTTGTTTTTAGATGGACTTTGAAACTGAGACATCGGTATCTGGTAATGATGGAGACATTTTATAGCAGACAGTGCAACAACGCACACCATCCTTCAGGATAGAAAATATTTCTCAGGTTTGACCTTAACTGAGGCTAAAATAAATACTATATCAGGATCTGCAAACATAATTGAGGGCTCCTGAAGAGCAACACTCATGTTACCAAGCAGAACTAAATTAAGTATCCATGATGATTTATATTCCAGCAAATCCAAAAGAAATTTGCTTAGTTTCTGTTACAAACAGAGAACTGATTGTAATTTTCTCTTGTATCTCATTGACAAATTATACATCAATATATAGGAAAATAAAGAACTAATCTAGGAAATAAATAATCTAATCTAGGAAATAAAAAATCTAACTTCCTATTTTACAGATTTGTTCCTAATATGTATTGATTACAATCCTAATATCCTATTATAGATTTATTCACTTAATCATGCAATATCTGTAAGATTTTGCATGATTATCTACAACAATCTACAACAGTTTCAAAGATATACGACTCAATGGATACCACATTGAAACTTTAAGTGAAAAGGATGGAGAGTTTTTATACATCACTGCTAATATTTCATGCTAAAAGCATGTATTAGAAAATATTGAAATTTATGCAGCCATGAACCAGAAGTTCACTAAACCTGAACTTTTTAAAATTTGGCATGACTATCTTGGTCACCTAAGATCTACAATGATGCGTAGGATCATAGAAAACTCACATAGGCACCCATTAAAGAACTTGAAGATGTTGTCACCTAGTGAGAGTGCTTGTATTGCTTGCTCACAAGGGAAATTGGCACTTAAGCCGTCCATCACTATAGTTGGTCTAGAATCCCCATCATTTTTATAAAGAATTCAAGGGGACATATGTGGACCTATTTATCAACCAAGTGAACCTTTCCGCTATTTTATGGTATTGATTGACGCATCGGTATGATGGTCACATGTTTGTCTACTATTTACCCTTAATGTTGCCTTTGCTAGACTGTTGGCACAAATTATCAGATTACGGGCACACTTTCCTGATTACTCAATGAAAGCAATCCGTTTGGACAATGCTGGTGAGTTTA